ACATTTTATGGCTATATTTAAGTATCTCCAGTACTTATTGGCTTAGAATCATCAAACTTTGTCAGTTGATGCATCTTGGGTTTTCGGAGAATTTGTCCAAAATGTAGGTCAGGGGACCTACTTTTACATTTTATGGCTATATTTATGTATCTCTAGTACTTATTGGTTTAGAATCATCATACTTTGTCAGTTTATGCATCTTGGGTTTTAAATTCGTCCAAAATGTAGGCCATGGTGACCTACTTTTAAATATCTCAGGTATTTTTGGTTTAGAATTAAAACTTGGTCAGCAGATGCTCTTGGGACTCTAAAAAATTTCAACCAAAATGTAGGTCAATGATTACTTTTGACATTTTATGGCTATATCTAAGTACCTGGTATTTTCCGGTACTTATTGGCTTAGAATCATCAAACTTTGTCAGTTGAATTTGGGTTTTTGGAGAAGTGCCAAAAAGTAGGTCACTGTGACTTTTTATGGCTATATTTAAGTTTTTAGGTTTTTTGGCTTAAATTATAAAACTTTGTCAGTTGATGCATTTTGTGTTTTCCAAGAATGTAGCCCAAAAAAGTAGTCCTAATTGGCTAAGAATCATCAAACTTTGTAGGTGATAAAACCCTGGGTCTTAGAATACTTAGGGTTAGAGGCTTCAAATACAAGTGATAGGTTGTATAATTTATCAGAAACAATTAAGGCCATTGGGCCTCTTGTATTAATTTAAGTGCGTGAGGCTGGATCCTGGGGGAAACATTGAGCAACGCTATAATGGGGGACCTAATCCAGATGTATGATATTAACTAAATTGGTTATCGTCTGTTTATATTAAGTGTGTGAGGCTGGATCCTTGGGGAAACATTGTAGCAATGTCTATAACTGTAGGGACCTCAATCTTACAGATGTATGATATTAAAAAGTGTGTTATTTTTTATGTCTGTTTATATTTAGTGTGTGACGCTGGATCCTGGGGTAAACATTGTAGCAATGTTTGTAACTGTGGAGGGGCCAACTGTAACCCCGTCACTGGAGGGTGCCTGTGTCCCCCGGGAAAAATAGGTCACCACTGTGAACAAGGTACGAGGGAATTATTACAACACTATTTTACAATAGCACTGTGTACTTAAACAAGATATCTTTTTAACGGTTTAGCCATCCAATTAATTTGGGGGATTGGGGGGAACTTGCATTGTAACATGTGGGTTTATCCATGTTTTTTTTTAAGAAATACAATATCATCACAAATTAAACCTCACAAAAATCAATGATTTCGCGGTATACTGTTGATCAGTTAGTGGTTAGTTTATATGTTGATCAGTTAGTGGTTAGTTTATATGATATTTTGGCAGAATGCCGTGCCTCGTATTTTGGTTTCCAGTTTAGATAAATTTATATGATCTATAATTTACAGAGTGTGGAGCCTCATACTTTGGTTTTTAGTTAAGATATGTTTATACGTTATTTAAGAGGGGGCCTCTTTTTTTTTGGTTTTTTAAATTAAAGGGTTTTTATACAAAAGTTCTTAAATCTTACAGTCAGTCATTTGGACTGACTGCCCAGGAAGTTTTCGGTCCAAAGATTTCTTTTGGTCAAACAAAATAATAAAACAAAATTTTTTAAGAAGTTTAAAAATTTATTTGAATTTTATTATCATTACATTTGGCACCCTCCGTCAATACACACTGCATACTTCATGCGAATTTGATCATCGTATGACAAATTTCGTTGAATTCCTGAGGGGGGTTAATTTTTTTTAAAGGTTTTCAATTTTAGTTTATTTTTCTCACCCTGGCTAATACCTTTTTGGGAAAAAATTTGGGTTTCAACAATTAATCAATCATAAATTTGGTACTTGCATTTCTTACGAGATACTGAAAAAACGTTTAACAGATTATGATTGGTCGGTTATAGGGAATTCGTACCAAATTTAGTCGGATTTTTAAGTTGCTTTCTCAAACCCCTTTCCGGTATTTTGACTGACACAGAACGTAAAGGATCGGTCCCTTTGGGTTTTTCTTATCGGTCTTGCCGACAGGACCGAAAGATTTCAAGAACTCTGTTTTTTATGATGTATTTACAGAATATGGAGCCTCATACTTTGGTTTTTTTAAGATATGTTTATGTGATATTTTACAAAATGGGGCCTCATACTTTGGTTTTTAGTTAAGATAAGTTTATACGATGTATTTTCAAGATGGAGCCTCTACTTTTTGGGTTTTTAAATTAAGATATGTTTATGTGATATATTTACAGAGTATGGAGCCTCATACTTTGGTTTTAAGTTAAAAATATGTTTATGTGATGTATTTACAGAGTGTGGAGCCTAATTCTTTTGGGTTTTTTGTTAAAATGTTTATACTATGTATTTACAGAATTTTGGAGCCTCATACTTTGGTTTTTAGTTAAGAATGTTTTAAGGGTGTATTTACAGAGTGTTTAAACCTTATACTTTTTTGGTTTTTTGTTAAGATATTTTTATACGATGTATTTACAGAGTGTGGAGCCTCATACTTTGGTTTTTAGTTAAGATAAGTTTATACAAAAATTTTTTTCCCCTTTTGGAGCCCCATACTTTGGTTTTTAGTTAAGATATGTTTATGTGATGTATTTACAGAGTGTGGAGCCTCATACTTTGGTTTTTAGTTAAAATGTTTAAAACTATGTATTTACAGAGTGTGGAGCCTATTTTGGTTTTTAGTTAAGATATGTTTATACCATGTATTTACAGAGTGTGGAGCCTCATACTTTGGTTTTTAGTTAAGATATGTTTATACGATGTATTTACAGAGTGTGGAGCCTCATACTTTGGCTTTTAGTTAAGAAAATGTTTAAAAAATGTATTTACAGAATATGGAGCCTCATACTTTAGTTTTTAGTTAAGATATGTTTATATGATGTATTTACAGAGTATGGAGCCTCATACTTTGGTTTTTTGTTAAAAATAGTTTATGTGATGTATTTACAGAATATGGAGCCTCATACTTTAGTTTTTAGTTAAGATATGTTTATATGATGTATTTACAGAGTATGGGGCCTCATACTTTGGTTTCCAGTTAAGATATGTTTATATGATGTATTTACAGAGTGTGGAGCCCCATATTTTGGTTTCCAGTTTAATAAGTTCATGTGATGTATTTTTCGAGTGTGGAGCCTCATACTTTGGTTTTTAAATTAAGAAAAGTTTATGTGATGTATTTACAGAGTATGGAGCCTCATACTTTGGTTTCCAAATTAAGATATGTTTATACCATGTATAAAGTGTGGAGCCTATACTTGGTTTTTAGTTAAGATATGTTTATAATATGTATTTACAGAATGTTAAGCCCCATACTTTGGTTTTTAGTTAAGATATGTTTAAAGGATGTATTTACAAATATGGAGCCTCATACTTTGGTTTTTTGTTCAGGTATGTTTATATGATGTATTTACAGAATGTTGAGCCCCATACTTTGGGTTTTTTGTTAAGATATGTTTATACCAAAGTTTTCCCAAATGTGGAGCCTCATACTTTGGTTTTTAGTTAAAAATATGTTTATACGATGTATTTACAGAGTGTGGAGCCTATTTTTTGGCTTTTAGTTAAGATATGTTTATATGATGTATTTACAGAATATGGAGCCTCATACTTTAGTTTTTAGTTAAGTATGTTTATATGATGTTTTTAAAGAGTATGGAGCCTCATCTTTGGTTTTTTGAAAGATATGTTTATGTGATGTTTTTAAGAATATGGAGCCTCATACTTTAGTTTTTATTAAATATGTTTAATGATGTATTTACAGAGTAGGGGGCCCTCATACTTTGGTTTCCAGTTAAGATATGTTTATATGATGTATTTACAGAGTGTGGAGCCTATTTTTGGTTTCCAGTTTAGATAAGTTCATGTGATGTATTTAAAGGGGGGAGCCTCATACTTTGGTTTTTAGTTAAGATAAGTTTATGTGATGTATTTACAGAGTGTGGAGCCTAACTTTGGTTTTTAGTTAAAATTTTTTTTATACATGTATTTACAGAGTGTGGAGCCTCATACTTTGGTTTTTAGTTAAGAATGTTTATGTGATGTATTTACAAAATATACCCCAATTTTGGTTTTTAGTTAAGATATGTATTTACAAAATATGGAGCCCCATACTTTGGTTTTTAGTTAAGATAAGTTTATGTGATGTATTTACAGAGTGTGGAGCCTCATACTTTGGTTTCCAGTTAAGATATGTTTATACGATGTATTTACAGAATGTTAGCCCCATACTTTGGTTTTTAGTTAAGATATGTTTATGTGATGTATTTACAGAATATGGAGCCCCATACTTTGGTTTTTTGTTAAGGTATGTTTATATGATGTATTTACAGAATGTTGAGCCCCATACTTTGGTTTTTAGTTAAGATATGTTTATACGATGTATTTACAGAATGTTGAGCCTCATACTTTGGTTTTTAGTTAAGATATGTTTATACGATGTATTTACCCAGTGTGGAGCCTCATACTTTGATTTTTAGTTAAGATATGTTTATACGATGTATTTACAAGTGTGGAGCCTCATACTTTGGTTTTTAGTTAAGATAAGTTTATGTGATGTATTTACAGAGTGTGGAGCCTAATATTTGGTTTTTAGTTAAGATAAGTTTATGTGATGTATTTACAGAATGTTAAAGCCCCATACTTTGGTTTTTAGTTAAGATATGTTTATGTGATGTATTTACAGAATATGGAGCCCCATACTTTGGTTTTTTGTTAAGGTATGTTTATATGATGTATTTACAGAATGTTGAGCCCCAAACTTTGGTTTTTAGTTAAGATATGCGTATTTTGGTTTCCAGTGTGCCCAGCAGTGTGGCTGTCAGAATAACGGTGTGTGTGACAAAGTAACGGGAGAATGTACGTGTCAGCCGGGCTGGAGTGGAACCTTCTGTGATCAAAGTAGGTCAACTCTCAATGTCAGCAGATAAAGTAGGTCACACAACTCTCAATGTCAGCAGATAAAGTAGGTCACACAACTCTCAATGTCAACAGATAAAGTAGGTCACATAACTCTCAATGTCATTCAGATAAAGTAGGTCACACACAACTCTCGATGTTAGTCAGATAAAGTAGGTCACACAACTCTCAATGTTAGTCAGATAAATTAGGTCACACAACTCTCAATGTCAGTAGATAAAGTAGGTCACACAACTCTCAATGTCAGCAGATAAAGTAGGTCACACAACTCTCAATGTCAGAAGATAAAGTAGGTCACACAACTCTCAATGTCAGCAGATAAAGTAGGTCACACAACTCTCAATGTCAGAAGATAAAGTAGGTCACACAACTCTCAAGTCAGCAGATAAAGTAGGTCACACAACTATCAATGTCAGCAGATAAAGTAGGTCACACACAACTCTCAATGTCAGTAGATAAAGTAGGTCACACAACTCTCAATGTCAGTAGATAAAGTAGGTCACACAACTCTCAATGTCAGTGGATAAAGTAGGTCACACAACTCTCAATGTCAGTGGATAAAGTAGGTCACACAACTCTCAATGTCAGTGGATAAAGTAGGTCACACAACTCTCAATGTCAGTGGATAAAGTAGGTCACACAACTCTCAATGTCAGTGGATAAAGTAGGTCACACTACTCTCAATGTCTCAAGTAATAATGAACAGATATAAGTAAATTCTCTGATAATGTTAAGGTAACTCTGACACTGTTATATTACAGAGTGTCCTGACGGTATGTACGGAGCTGACTGCAGTAACCAGTGTCCGGACTGTCTTAACGGCGGGTCATGTGACAGTATTACAGGACTGTGTCTGTGTGCCGCAGGGTATAAAGGAAACCTCTGTAACCAAAGTAAGTACTGTAGACACAGGTATTAGATTACAGTAAACAGTGTCCTGTTGTAATGGTGGGTCATGTGTCAGTGTAAATGAACAGTGTGTGTGTGTAGTGGGATATAGAGGAAAACAGAAGATCAATGTGACCATATTAAGTACTATCCATGGCTTTTGAATTTTATATGAAGTTGTCCCTATACACTTTTGTTAACAATGACAAAAAAGGTGTTCCAAGTACTTTTTGATAGAAAGTCTGAATTATTTTGAAGTATTGCAAAACAATATGAGTGATTTAACACATAAATTCATGAAAAGATGTTGAAATGTTAAATATTCTTTTTATTGCAGCTTGTGATCCAGGAACCTGGGGAACAAACTGCCAGAGTTACTGCCCTTCACTTTGTAAGCAAAACTGTGTTCCTACAACAGGAGAATGTCCCTGTCACCAGGGGGCGTGTCTCAATGGAGGAATCTGTAAACAGGTAAATACATTAACCAGAGTTACTGCCCTTCACTTTGTAAACAAAACTGTGTTCCTACAACAGGAGAGTGTCCCTGTCACCAGGGGGCGTGTCTCAATGGAGGAATCTGTAAACAGGTAAATACATTAACCAGAGTTACTGTCCTTCACTTTGTAAACAAAACTGTGTTCCTACAACAGGAGAATGCCCCTGTCACCAAGGGGCGTGTCTCAATGGAGGAATCTGTAAACAGGTAAATACATTAACCAGAGTTACTGCCCTTCACTTTGTAAACAAAACTGTCTCCCTACAACAGGAGAGTGTCCCTGTCACCAGGGGGCGTGTCTCAATGGAGGAATCTGTAAACAGGTAAAAACATTAACTAGAGTTACTGCCCTTCATTGCATACCTCCTACAGGGGAATGTCTCTGTCACCAGGGGGCGTTTCTCAATGGAGGAATCTGTAAACAGGTAAAAACATTAACTAGAGTTACTGCCCTTCATTGCATACCTCCTACAGGGGAATGTCCCTGTCACCAGGGGGCGTGTCTCAATGGAGGAATCTGTAAACAGGTAAATACATTAACCAGAGTTACTGCCCTTCACTTTGTAAACAAAACTGTTCCTACAACAGGGGAATGTCCCTGTCACCAGGGGGCGTGTCTTAATGGAGGAATCTGTAAACAGGTAAATACATTAACCAGAGTTACTGCCCTTCACTTTGTAAACAAAACTGTTCCTACAACAGGGGAATGTCTCTGTCACCAGGGGGCATGTCTCAATGGAGGAATCTGTAAACAGGTAATACATTAGACAGAGTTACTGCCCTTCACTTTGTAAGCAAAACTGTGTTCCTACAACAGGAGAGTGTCCCTGTCACCAGGGGGCGTGTCTCAATGGAGGAATCTGTAAACCTTTAAACAGAGTTACTGCCCTTTATTTTATCCTTCCAACTTGGTCAACAAAGAGTTGCTTCCCCTTACTTTGTTAAAAGATATTCTAAAAAAGAGCTTATCAAGCAAATGCGACCATTTATAGGGGGTCATTTATGAATTAATATTTGATGACATCTTTCATTAGATATAAGAAATGTTTACCATTTTGAAAGAATTTAGAACAGGAGATAGATATATGACACATGTTTCTGTTTTTTTTTTGCTTATATAAGCTTATAAAGCTTGATTTCTACATTATCTTTCAGTCTGTTAATATTTTCTTTTCTTATAATAATGGTAACTACTAATTATGACAATTCTTGTTAAATGGTAAAACATACAAATTTATACAGTTTTTGTTACTATTTCAGGGTAAATGTGTGTGTCAGTATGGTTTTGTTACTTTTTCAGGGTAAATGTGTGTGTCAGTATGGTTTCTTTGGAGATGACTGTTCACAGTCACTAGGGAGAACTCTGGCTTCACAGAAATCACTTAGCTGTAAGTGAACATTGTATACAGAAAGTTCAAATAAAATTCTGCCAAAGTTAGAAGTATACTTTTTCAAGCAAACAAAATGCTGAGTTTTAAATCTTCTGAACTGTAAATTTTTTATATAGATATTCTTTACTTTTCAGCACCTTCTAATGTGACCTTGACCCCAGGTCAAGTGGTCGGTATTGTCATGGGTTTACTGGTCCTCATTTTGCTGGTAGTCCTGCTGACCATCTTTATCATGAGAAGAAGATTTCACAATCAGCAGAACAATATCACGTCAATGAACTTGAACAATTCTGTAAGATTTTTACGGACTTTTCTCATTTAAAAGTATAAAGAGATCACATAAGTTTAATAACTTTGTTTATTATTAAGTTTACGGTAAAGCACATTTATAACAAAGTGCCAGGGATAGTCAATATTTTTATGCCCCGCCATGAATATGGCCGGGGCATATAGTGTTTGTCATGTCCGTCTTCCGTCCTTCTGTCCTTCCGTCACACTTTGTGTTTAGCTCTGTTGAAAGCTCAGTTTCAAAGAAACTATCCAAGATATTTTCATCAAACTTCATATGATGATAGATATTGATGAGAGCTATTCAACTGCATCAACATTTTTTGACCTTGACCTTTCCTTTGACCTTGACCTCACTTTTCTTAAATGAGTGTTTAGCTCAGTTTAAAACATACCATTCAAGATGGTGTTACCAAATTTCACATGTTGATACAAACTTGCACGGATGATGCATCTCAGGATGAACATTGCCAGACTTGATTCGGATGCTGGATCTGACCTACATTTTCCAGATGAGTGACCAGATTAAAGTTTTTGGAGCAGGTTCATTACTAAAGAACTATAAGCCGTAATTGGACCAAACTTGCATAGATGATGCATTGAGAGATGGACACTACCATACTTGCTTCGGATGCTGGATCTGACCTATATTTTCATTCCTAAGTAACTATAAGCCCTACCTGAACCAAACTTGCATGGATGATGCATCTAGGGATGGACACTACCAGACTTGCTTCGGATGCTGGATCTGACTTATATTTTCATTCCCAAGTAACTATAAGCCCTACCTGAACCAAACTTGCATGGATAATGCATCTAGGGATGGACACTACCAGAATTGCTTCGGATGCTGGATCTGACCTATATTTTCATTCCCAAGTAACTATAAGCCCTACCTGAACCAAACTTGCATGCATGATGCAACTAGGGATGGACACTACCAGACTTGCTTCGGATGCTGGATCTGATTTATATTTTCATTCCCAAGTAACTATAAGCCCTACCTGAACCAAACTTGCATGGATAATGCATCTAGGGATGGACACTACCAGAATTGCTTCGGATGCTGGATCTGACTTATATTTTCATTCCCAAGTAACTATAAGCCCTACCTGAACCAAACTTGCATTGATAATGCATCTACGGATGGACACTACCAGACTTGCTTCAGATGCTGGATCTGACCTATATTTTCATTCTAGGGCTGGGCAAAAATATCGATATTTCAATATATTGCGATACAATGACAAAAAATATCGTATTGCAATACGATTTTGTAATATTGATATATTGGCAATATGCTAAGATTAAGGAATTTTGTCATTTTGAAGTATAAAAATAGACATGAAAGTTTGTTATTAAGCCAAACAGTAAGACAGAAGTTTTGTGGGAGCATTTCAGAGCATAACTTAGATGAAATCAACAAGATTTTTTTCCGTGTTCAAGGTTACGTGTTCATAGTTATGTACATTCTGTATGTAAATTAAGTAAATATAGTAAGAAAATGCTATTTTAATTACATTGAAAATATTGTAATACATATCGCGATACAGTTTAAAATATCGCAATATATCGCAATACGAAAATCTTGGGCCAATACCCAGCCCTATTTCATTCCCAAGTAACTATAAGCCCTACCTGAACCAAACTTGCATGGATGATGCATCTAGGGATGGACACTGCCAGACTTGCTTCGGATGCTGGATATGACCTATATTTTGATTCCTAAGTAATTATAAGTCCTACCTGAACCAAACTTGCATGGATGATGCATCTAGGGATGGACACTACCAGACTTGCTTCGGATGCTGAATCTGACCTATATTTTTTCAAACAAGCAATTCACCTGCATCAACATACAAGATATTCTGATCAAATTTTACACACATACAAATTTTCATGTTGCTTTACTAATATAGCCTCAGCGGGGACATATTTCTAGTTTTTTATGAATTTGATAAACCTGTTATTATTTTTCTATTTATTTTTACGCATGTGGAATTAAAATCACTCTAAGCATAAATTTATTATAAGCATGTCTGCTATAAGCTTATTTTTTGTTTAAATATATTCCTTTCTAGTCTATTAATAAAGCATTGTCCCGCCACACAATTCATTGTCTGATTTCTTATACAGCTCCACGAGGACAGTGACGTACGAGGTTTTACTAACCCTCACTACGACGTACAGCATTCAGACAACATGGCCGACACCTCAGGCGGGAAAACAGAAGCCCAATCAGAAGACAGCGCTACAGCTTAATATCACAACAAGGACAGGGATTGTCTGATACTATATACATCTTTGATATTATCATACAACAGCGATACTTGGGACTTCAAAGATTGGTGTGGTGATTTACTATTGTCTGAAAGTTTGATACATGAGAGAGGATACTGTATAGGTGGAAAATAACTCGCGGTGTAAATATTCGATATATCGTGTTGATGAATCCGTGAATTCAAGAAACAGAGAATAAGTTTTCAATAGTATAGATAAGGGAGGGAACTTTTATTATAAACCAATTCCGCAAATTCAAGAAACCGCGACGATCTCAGAGAAGAGAAAAACGTGAAAATTACAACCCGTGAAATTAATCCCCTATACAGTATTTAATACATGAGAGAGGATATAAGTCTTTTATGCAATAATTGTTACAAGTAAATGTTTGCCCTATTTTTGTTATAATTTATGAAAGAGAAAAACTCTAGACACATGTGTTTGTTTTTTTAAGCCTTTTAAATGGTGAAATGCAACTATTTGTATATTACTGCATTATATGTACTACTTTGTATACTGCTGTATTATTTGTATTATTTTGTTATACCTTGGTATATTGTATAATAAAGACTCAAATAATAGAGGCCGACCTTGATGTTTGGGAGTTTGCGGAACAATCTAAATCAACAAATGAATTTATTCTTTCCAAAAGTGTCTGTTACACAGAATTATTTGCACACTGGTCCTTGTGTTAGGATTATAACTACTTGATTTGTCCAGGAATAAGCAACCTTTGTTGGTTGAGTGACCTAATGTGGGCCCTCTCCACTGATCAGACAGACTGAATTATGTAAACCAACTTTTATTCGCATCAAAAAATATTCGAGTTTTGCGACCTACTTTAAATCACGAATTTTAATCACTGCGAACCATTTTTGTTTGCTTGATTTTATAGAAAATGTTTCCTTATTTTTGTGAAAATTTATCACTGTGGATTAATTTAAAACTAAGGAATAGCAAATAAAAGAAGATTATGAAAATAATAGTTGGTTTACAGTATTCTGTAGTCAAATTTACTAGTAGTTTAATAATGCTAAGAAATATGTCAAAATTTGACAAAAAGGTAGTAATTGTTATCAAGATTAAGGTTTAGACCATAATAAACAGAACTCTGACTTTAGCTGAGGTTATTAAAATCCCAGTAAAATCAATGTATTTATTTGTAGTCTGTCTCATTCCAGAGGTTGATGATACTTAAGTATTCTCTGGAGTATCAAAAAAAAAGTTGGAGTCATAAACACCATATGCAAGTGATAGCGAATTATAACTTTATAGGTAAGGAATGTTGATGCAGAAAAACTGAAGTCATCTCGTTTATCATAATGTTTATTTGTTCAAACTGGTCATTACTGTCTCTTATCAGTAAAGCATCTCAATAATAAACAGACATAACAGACTCTGAAATTACTTGATTGCTTTATTCAAATATGATCCGTAATAGGACGAACCTGTTTTCTAGGGTTCATATTATTGGTTATGAAGACACTTAGAGGGGTAATACGGAAATATGTGGGGTCCTTGAAAAGTTCATATTGGGCGAGGCATAAGCCGAGCCCAAAATAGATTTTTTTCAAGGACCCCACATATTTCCATATTACCCCTCTAAGTGTCTACATAACGAATTTATCCTGCCAATGGTTCTCTAAAAGACTAAATATTTATAGTATCAATATTCCGCTTTCAATGAGCGTCCAAGCAAGACGTTCTGCGTCTGTTGTTGTCAGACGCATTGCAACATCAGTTATGAATCTCCATGCAAGTCACGTGAAAGCAGTATATTGATGATGTGTGGTTGGTAAATTTCTAATATATGGTGGTAGGTCACGTGGAGGGGGCACATTAGCAATGTGAGGTGGGTAGACAGCATAACATCGTTTCATGCAGTTTTGTTCTCGACCAATGAAATTTCTAAATTTTTATCAGAGGCAGGATAAATTATTTTTCTTAGCTTCCCAAGTAACTTATAATTATCAATTTACATATGTTCTATAATTTTCTACATTTTTTATTCAGACTTCAGTAGGATATGCTGTTTATTTCATGTACTGGATGACTTTCACTTCCCCTGAATCATACAACCCTACCCACAACCTCCCCTCACTGTCCACACTCAGTCCAGTAGGATCCTCTATTCCACAATTATCCACACATCTCAGGAACTGTCCATTCTGATCTAGGAGGTGTAGACAGTTATTGACTTGATCAGCCACAATGATGTGACCCATGGAGTCTGTCACTATTTGTACAGGACCGAATGATTCATTTCCCCCGTGAGGTTTGTTCTTGTATCTAAATCTGACTTTTCCTGTCCTGTCCACCACTACGACTGTGTCAGCATTCATATCAGAGGTCACTATGTCTCCATTGTTGTTCTCCACCACAAACACGCCATTTTCTCCTCCTTGATAGATTGGATCCCCATGTTCATCTTTATATATTTCCTGTGTCACTCTCTGTCCCTGATAACGGACTATTTTATGATGACTATAATCAGTGGTAAGCATACTAACTAGGATGTCCCCTGACCTGGTACAACACAGTCCATCTGGATGCCAGCCCCTTGGTGTGGTGATCAGCATCTCTGTCTTCCCATCTCTGACAATGTTCGCAGTTCTATTGTAAGCATCACTGTATATCAGTTCTCCCTGTCTGGTCACTGTAATGTCACTAGGTAAGTCAATACATTTACTGGTGACAGTATCTTGAACAGCTCCATATATGTCCACACAGGTTATCATTTTGTCTTCACCATTAACCCAAGCTTTATCTGATCCTACACAGGCCACTTTACATAACTTTTTAACATTAGTTGGAATGTTTGCAATCAATTTGGCTTCTTCTAATAATTCCTTAACAGATAAAAAGGAGACTTCATCTGTCAGACTGGATAGTGATGTCTGTGTCAGTGTAGCCTTGTATTCTCCTAATTCTATGCTGAGTTCTCTCCCTTGGACTGTGTTTGTTTGAAGAGAGGGCAATGGTAAATCAGGTATTTGTGGAATGTTTCTGTATTCCTTCAGTTTAGATTGGTAGTTGTTGACATCAGACACTTTGTTGGACTTCAGTATTTCTTTGTTTTCTTGAACAGTTTGGGTCATACTAGAATTCTGACATCTGAGTTTGGACTGTAAGATTTTAGAGTTGTAATATGATGATCTCTGAGTGACTGGATCAGGGATTCCATTTTGTTAAAGATGTTGTCCACCTCTATGTGCCATTGCTTCCTCTGATTTTTAGCTTGTTTCTCTAGTTGTACAAAGTGGGTCATGGATATGGAAATTTTACTTTCAGCTTCTGTATCCTTTGCTCTGTTGTTGGGAAAAATGGCCTCAATTTGTTCTGTTTCCCTTTTAATTTTTTGTTTGACTTTGGTAATTGCATCTGCCATGTCTTCTGACATGTGACCCCTATGTTGACCAGTGAGACATTTGATGCAGACCGGGACATCACACTGTTGACAGTGGGCCTCACATCTCTGGTGAGAATGAGATGTACACTGAGGGAACACAAGCTGTACTGTACGCTTTGTGAAAGGAACAATGTCATGCTTCATGGACTTGAGGCTGTTGACATGTTTGTTGATGCAGTCTTCACACAGACCGACTTGGCAGCTGTTACAGAATTGTTGGACAGGTTTGGCACAAAGGTCACAGGTTATGAGTTCCTGTGCCTGGCTGGTTGCAGTGGCCATGTTATCTCTAGATACTGACCATATCTGTAAAATATAAATGACTTAAATAAGAAAAGAAAATTTATGTGAATATTGTATTTTACCTGTTCATTTTTGCTATGTATGAACCATCGTCAGAACTACAGGTGCAACAATACACTTACCCCACAATACGATACGTATTCAGTATCAGATATTCAGTTCACGATACGATACATACCACGATACGTGACATATTGGGTTAAAAAGTCAGACATTTGTCATCATATACTTTAAACTAAAAAGTTTTATCAAATGTTCATTACACTTACACTAGGAAAGTAATAACATCCTTCAACTTGTTTAATATGAGGCTGGAAACAAGTTTAACTGCCGTTTCTGAAGTTTCATTGACCTATGTTTCGTGCGGAAGCCATTTTGAAATTGTAAACAAGGAACCAAAACGGATGATTCGGATAATTACGGACTGTTTGAACCAAACCATAATATCTGTTTCATGTATCGTGAACCGAACCATGGAAAAATAAACCTGGTATACCGTCATACGGTTTTTTGTTGCACTCTTTGTCGGAATCCACTGGTTTTCTCTTCATTACACTTCTTTAACTGTAAATTGCAGTGTAACCGAGAGAAAACCTGTGGGTTCTGACAATGTGTATGAACACAAGCTTTGGAACATTTTCAGCTGAACAGATTTTAACTACGTGCAATTAAAATTGTATATCTGTGATGTATTGAAAGATTTCCTATTCGGGGGAGGGGGGCTGATAAATGGTCGAGTAAAAAAATCAGCAATGTAAATGCAATATTTTTCAGCCCATTGCTACCCATTTTTGTCTTCACTTAGTTGTATACTGCCCTGACCAATTTCTCTTTAACTTGCCATGTACACTATGCTTGGGGTACTTCAGGTTGTATGTAAACACAAAGAAAGGACGAAGTGTTTTTTTTTCTAAAAGGGAAATAATTAGAAAATATTAAAATTTTCTGATGAAGATACAAAGTGCATTTTTGTATTAATGTGTATGTCTGTATATATTATCTTTTCTAGAGATCTAGAGTTCTGCAGCTATGTCAAATTATATTGCTTTAATGTGCAAATATGTATATTATAACCTTCTGAGACCACATTGGTGAATTAGTCTTGTAGTTTTTAGCTCACCTGAGCCGAAGGCTCAAGTGAGCTTTTCTGATCACATTGTGTCCGTCGTCCGTCCGTCCGTCCGTCCGTCTGTCCGTCCGTCCGTAAACTTTTCACATTTTCGACTTCTTCTCAAGAACCACTGGGCCAATTTTGACCAAACTTGGTACAAAGCATCCTTGGGTGAAGGGGAATTTAAATTGTTAAAATGAAGGGACATATCCCCTCGCAAGGGGAGATAATCAAGAAAAGACAAAAATAGGGTGGGGTCATTAAAAAATCTTCTTCTCAAGAACCACTGGGCCAGAAAAGCTGAAACTTATGTGGAAGCATCCTGGGGTAGTGTAGATTCTAAATTGTTCAAATCAAGACCCCCGGGGAGTGGGCGGGGCCACAATGGGGAATCAAAGTTTTACATAGAAATATATAGGAAAAATCTTTGAAAATCTTCTTCTCAAGAACCACTGTGTCAGAAAAGCTGAAACTTATGTGGAAGCATCCTGGGGTAGTGTAGATTCTAAATTGTTCAAATCATAACCCCCGGGGATTGGGCGGGGCCACAATGGGGAATCAAAGTTTTTCATAGAAATATATAGAAAAAACTTTGAAAATCTTCTTCTCAAGAACCACTGTGCCTGAAAAGCTGAGACTTATGTGGAAACATCCTGGGGTAGTGTAGATTCTAAATTGTTCAAATCATAACCCCCGGGGATTGGGCGGGGCCACAATGGGGAATCAAAGTTTTACATAGAAATATATAGGAAAAATCTTTGAAAATCTTCTTCTCAAGAACCACTGTGCCTGAAAAGCTGAAACTTATGTGGAAACATCCTGGGGTAGTGTAGATTCTAAATTGTTCAAATCAAGAATTGTTTTTTCTATATAATTGGGCGGGGCCACAATGGGGAATCAAAGTTTTACATAGAAATATATAGGAAAAATCTGTGTAGATTTCAAATTGTCTAAATTATGATCAGTGGGGTAGGGTGGGGTCACAATATGTATTACAAGGGGTAAATCTAGTAAAGTACAGAATTGTCAAAGCTTCTCAGGTGAGCGATGTGGCCCATGGGCCTCTTGTTATTCTATCAATGTATTCACAGTATTATCCATTCGAACAGGGTGAGATACATAATGTGATAGTCTGTATTTCTGGACATGTCTACAAAATTTATTATCATGTATTTTACAGTAACCATTGCTCTAGATACCAAAATGTCCCCCAAGTTCCAGGTTTCTACAATATCTTAAAACTTGCCCTTCTGGATTGTATAATCCATTTCTAAATTAAAGTAATCTTAATATTCAATTGTAAAAAATGATTTTTACCTAGCCTTTTATCCTGTATTATACATTATTCCGCTGCTGTTCAGTAATTGTTTCATCCATTCTGTACTTTTGTTTTGGTGTTTTTACTTCCTGGTTCACTGTTGTCATGTGACACCAGGTGTTTCCAGATCACATGACAAGATTTAAAGGTAAATAGAACACAGTAGATAGGTGTGTTATGATTGTGCTGTTCAGAATAAAGGGAATTAAATATGTCACAAAGCAGAATCAAAGGCATATTTGTGTTGATTGCAATCCTCTTGTCACTATAAACAAGGTTGCATATATTATATGTGAATGCAGTTGTTTTGAATTTTTTCAGACATTAAAACAGATATCTGTGGAAGTAAAGAATCAATTCATGAAATGTTATCAAGAGTAAATTATACAAATGTGCAAAATATCTAGTTGATAGCAATACTATTAGATAAGTTGTGGTAAAATTAAAAAAACTATTATTTGTCCGTTGATCTGGAGCAGTGACTGCATAGAGTATCTTGCTATATATAGGTGCTTATCAACAGGGGATCGATGTTTTGAATAGAAAATTGCAGAAAAATTCTTTACAAAATTTTTAACAACCACTGTGAACTTTAATATCTGTGAAAGCTTCCTGAGCTGTAATTAATTTTAAACTGTTCAAAACATGGCCCTCTGGTGTTAGGCGGGTCCACAAAAGGAGATTAAAAGTTTACATGGAACAGTAGAGAAAATAAATTTTTGATTAATCTCAAAAACCAAAACTGCACCTCACATTTGCAAATTAACATTCCCAAGCTGAATGGATTCATTATCTTTTAAAGTATTTATTGTAAGTTTGAGTTAATTAGGCTAAAATAGGGATCAAATTACATTAGTAACGATGTCATATAACAAGGTTATGTGCGCCATAAATCAGAGTCAGAGACATTTCATACTTACAGGAATATTTATGAATGTCAAAATCTTTCAGATTATGGTACTTGAACAGGTACATACATGACTGACATAATTATGAGGAATGTTTTTTATTCTCGCAGGTTCGACCTTATTCCCTACCCACCACTCTGGGCTTCTGGATCGGGGGAGAGGACTGTTGTCCCCAGGGGCGATTCCAGGGGATGATCAAGGTAAGTGAGTACAATTAAACACCATCTTAGATTCCAGGGCATGAACAAGATAAGTGAATACAATTAAACACCATTTTAGATTCCAGGGCATGATCAAGGTAAGTGAGTACAGTGGACCTTCAGATATCCGGACACCCGATATCTGGAAGCTTCAGTGTTCGGACGATTTTTCATCGGAACGAAATGTTTGAATGTTATTTTGTCTTGTTTAAGTGGTGATTCAGATATCCGGATGCTTCACATATCCAGACAAATTGACTGGGAACCAAACCGTCCGGATAAATGAGGGTCCACTGTACAATTAAACACCATCTTAGATTCCAGGGCATGATCAAGATGAGTGAGTACAATTAAACACCATTTTAGATTCCAGGGCATGATCATGATAAGTGAGTACAATTAAACACCATCTTAGATTCCAGGGCATGATCATGATAAGTGAGTACAATTAAACACCATTTTAGATTCCAGGGTATGATCAAGATAAGTGAGTACAATTAAACATCATTTTAGATTCCAGGGCATGATCAAGGTGAGTGAGTACAATTAAACACCATCTTAGATTCCAGGGCATGGTCAAGGTAAGTGAGTACAATTAAACACCATCTTAGATTCCAGGGCATGGTCAAGGTAAGTGAGTACTAATAAATATCTTGCCCCAACTAGTAACCATTTCTATGAATAACATTTCCTTTTTTGATTATGCTGAATATAAATGTACTTATCACATGTTTTATTGTCAGTCAGTGAAGATTTGGAAGAGAGCTTTACAGTACCAGGAAATCAACAGAAGTATGAGGTTACAGGACACACAACATTCTACAGTATGTATCACTTAGTGACCATGTTCAATAACAGGAATAAAACCTAAAGCTTTAGTCATAAACATAATAATGGCTTAAAGTGACAGTCATTAACTGACATTCGGCACAAAATGTCAAGTCATTTACTGAAATACAATACGGTGCATGTAATTAACTGGCACGCAGAAAGAAGTGTTTGATCATGACATATACATGTAACACAAAATGTCAAGTCATGACTTACAGCACAAAATGTCAAATTCTGACATACAGCACAAAGTAATTCATTAACAGATTAGTACAACACAAACTGTCAGCACAACAGAAGGAGTTAGGCTTGAATCATTTGTACTGTAAAATTTTTGGTAACAAGTCTAAGGAAGTGCAAAAGTTAAAATTGATTCGTTGAAATTCATATTTTGAGCAGCATAAATTACACATTATACAATACCTATTGAGAAGCGATTTTTAATGTGATCCCATGCAGTTTTTTGATGCACTGTGTATAGGTGGAGGCCATGACTGGAGGATTGGTAGGTCACTATGAACTTGGGGAGGACATAAAGCCCTACTGTTTAGGAGTGGACCATGGAGGAGGGGACTGGACCCCACAGGATCAGGAATCTATCTCAGGTAAATACAGGTAACTCTCCTATACTTAGATCTCTAACTCACAGTATCAGGAATCTATCTCAGGTAAAAATCTGGTAACTCTCCTAAACTTAGATCTCCAACAGGATCAGGAATCTATCTCAGGTAAATACAGGTAACTCTCCTAAACTTAGATCTCTAACCCACAGGATCAGGAATCTATCTCAGGTAAATACAGGTAACTCTCCTAAACTTAGATCTTTAACCCACAGGATTGGGAATGTATCTCAGGTAAATACAGGTAACTCTCCTAAACTTAGATCTCTAACTCATAGGATCGGGAATCTATCTCAGGTAAAAACAGGTAACTCTCCTGAACTTAGATCTCTTACAGGATCAGGAATCTATCTCAGGTGAAAACAGGTAACTCTCCAGAACTTAGATCTCTAACTCACAGGATCGGGAATGTATCTCAGGTAAATACAGGTAACTTTCCTTAACTTAGATCTCTAACTCTCAGGATCAGGAATCTGTCTCAGGTATATACAGGTAACTCTCCTAAACTTACATCTCTAACTCACAGGATCGGGAATCTATCTCAGGTAAATACAGGTAACTCTCCTTAACTTAGATCTCTAACTCTCAGGATCAGGAATCTATGTCAAGTTAATACAGGTAACTCTCCTTAACTTAGATCTCTAACTCTCAGGATCAGGAATCTATGTCAGGTAAATACAGGTAACTCTCCTTAACTTAGATCTCTAACTCTCAGGATCAGGAATCTATGTCAGGTAAATACAGGTAACTCTCCTATACTTAGATCTCTAACTCACAGGATCAGGAATCTATGTCAGGTAATACAGGTAACTCTCCTTAACTTAGATCTCTAACTCTCAGGATCAGGAATCTATCTCAGGTAAATACAGGTAACTCTCCTAAACTTAGATCTCTAACTCACAGGATCAGGAATCTATCTCAGGTAAATACAGGTAACTCTCCTAAACTTAGATCTCTAACTCACAGGATCAGGAATCTATCTCAGGTAAATACAGGTAACTCTCCTAAACTTAGATCTCTAACTCACAGGATCAGGAATCTATCTCAGGTAAATACAGGTAACTCTCCTAAACTTAGATCTCTAACCCACAGGATCAGGAATCTATCTCAGGTAAATACAGGTAACTCTCCTAAACTTAGATCTCTAACCCACAGGATCAGGAATCTATCTCAGGTAAATACAGGTAACTCTCCCAAACTTAGATCTCTAATTCACAGGATCAGGAATCTATCTCAGGTAAATTCTCTAGATATTCAACTGATATTAATATATATATTTTTGTACAGACCTGTTCTCTGGACTCTGTCTCATGTTCTTATTTTGTAGGAAACTGCAATATCTCCCTGTACTTCCCAAAAAACTAAGTTCTTCACCCCTTACAACACAACTCAAACACAGGAGGCACTGTAAAATTCATTCTCCCCTGTGGCCAGACAGTAAACTACTAGAAGGGGTCACAGCGGGGGGTGACCCTGTGTAAAAATTAATGTACTGGGTTTCCCTAAAAAAAACTGTCATTTCTTAATAAATAAAATGATTATAATAATCTTTCAGTCTATCAAAAATTTTCCTTAGATAATCTCAAAAACTGGATTTCTTAATAGAATAAAATATATATATTTGGTAGGAAAACAGACATGTTCAACGGTAGTACTAGTTTCCTTGACTTTAATCCAAAAACTGTCTTTCTTATGTGATTATTAATTTGTAGGAACTCACTGTCAATATGGGTTTCCTCTATAGTCCAAAAACTGTCATCTACATAGAATAAAATGATAATAATAATTCGCCAGGGGCAGTACAACACAACAACCAAAAACTGTCACAGGATAATAATAATTTTGGCACACTGATCATCGAGGGTTTCCAGAACTATAATCCAAAAAATGTCATTTCTAAATAGAATAAAATGATAATAATAATTTGGGGGGAAAACAGGGCCAGTCTATCAACGGTCTGTACTGGGTTTCCTTAACTATAGTCCAAAAAATGTCATTTCTTAATAGAATAAAATGATTATAATAATTTGGGGGGAAAACAGGGGCAGTCTATCAACGGTCAGTACTGGGTTTCCTTAACTATAATCCAAAAACTGTCATTTTTCTAAATAGAAAAAATGATGTATAATAATGAGGCTTTTGATTGGTCTAACTAATTTTAAAAGCACTTTTAATTAATTTAATTTAAGTATGATTACTTTTAGTAATTTGCAAACATTTTCCCTAAAGTTTGTAGCCTGAATAATTAAGATTTTGTCATACTGGGAAAGTCACATTGAAAGTATAAGAAGTTGTGAAATTCTGATGTATGATTACATACACAAGATTTAAAATAAATATCTTCCTCTAACTAAGGAGAGTGTTGTGATCCATTGATCTCTTACATTATATGACAGATTTGTTAAGGAGATAATAATCAGGTTAAATAAATCAGAATTCTTTTACTCTTAATTGACAATATAAAAATGAAAAATTTGATCAATCATTTATGATATGATATAATTTTTATGGCAGGACAAGGAGTTGTGGGTATCCATAGCAACATGGGAGGGGGAGGAGGAGGAGCTTCAGGGGGTCAGAGGTCAGATGGCAGAGGTCAGCCAGGAGGAGGAGGGGGATTTGGAACTGCAGGGTAAGAATGTACACAAAGAGTAAGGATTTCAGACCCAAGTGATTGAATTCTGGGGATTAAAGAAAGGAAAGTGTGTAAGATTCTTCATTGTAAAAAATCATAGCTTTTGAATCACTTTTATTAGCTCACCTGAGCCGAAGGCTCAAGTGAGCTTTTCTGATCACATTGTGTCCGTCGTCCGTCCGTCTGTCCGTCCGTCTGTCCGTCTGTCCGTCCGTCCGTAAACTTTTCACATTTTCGACTTCTTCTCAAGAACCACTGGGCCAATTTTGACCAAACTTGGTTCAAAGCATTCTTGGGTGAAGGGGAATTTGAATTGTTAAAATGAAGGGACATATCCCCTCGCAAGGGGAGATAATCAAGAAAAGACAAAAATAGGGTGGGGTCATTAAAAAATCTTCTCAAGAACCACTGGGCCAGAAAAGCTGAAACTTATGTGGTAGCATCCTGGGGTAGTGTAGATTCTAAATTGTTCAAATCATGACCCCCGGGGATAGGGCGGGGCCACAATGGGGAATCAAAGTTTTACATAGAAATATATAGGAAAAATCTTTGAAAATCTTCTTCTCAAGAACCACTGTGTCAGAAAAGCTGAAACTTATGTGGAAGCATCCTGGGGTAGTGTAGATTCTAAATTGTTCAAATCATAACCCCCGGGGATTGGGAGGGGCCAAAATGGGGAATCAAAGTTTTACATAGAAATATATAGGAAAAAAACTTTGAAATTCTTCTTCTCAAGAACCACTGTGCCTGAAAAGCTGAGACTTATGTAGAAACATCCTGGGGTAGTGTAGATTCTAAATTGTTCAAATCAAGACCCCCGGGGATTGGGCGGGGCCACAATGGGGAATCAAAGTTTTTCATAGAAATATATAGGAAAAATCTTTGAAAATCTTCTTCTCAAGAACCACTGTGCCTGAAAAGCTGAGACTTATGTGGAAGCATTCTAGGGTAGTGTAGATTTTAAATTGTTCAAATCAAGACCCCCGGGGATTGGGCGGGGCCACAATGGGAAATCAAAGTTTTACATAGAAATATATAGGAAAAATCTTTGAAAATCTTCTACTCAAGAACCAATGTGTCAGAAAAGCTGAAACTTATGTGGAAGCATCCTGGGGTAGTGTAAACTCTAAATTGTTCAAATCATAACCCCCGGGGATTGGGCGGCGCCACAATGGGGAATCAAAGTTTTACATAGAAATATATAGGAAAAAAACTTTGAAATTCTTCTTCTCAAGAACCACTGTGCCTGAAAAGCTGAGACTTATGTAGAAACATCCTGGGGTAGTGTAGATTCTGAATTGTTCAAATCAAGACCCCCGGGCATTGGGAGGGGCCACAATGGGGAATCAAAGTTTTACATAGAAATATATAGGAAAAATCTTTGAAAATCTTCTTCTCAAGAACCACTCTGCCAGAAAAGCTGAAATTTATGTGGAAGCATCCTGGGGTAGTGTAGATTCTAAATTGTTCAAATCATAACCCCCGGGGATTGGGCGGGGCCACAATGGGGTATCAAAGTTTTTCATAGAAATATATAGGAAAAATCTTTGAAAATCTTCTTCTCAAGAACCACTGTGTCAGAAAAGCTGAAACTTATGTGGAAGCATCCTGGGGTAGTGTAGATTCTAAATTGTTCAAATCATAACCCCGGGGATTGGGCGGGGCCACAATGGGGAATCAAAGTTTTTCATAGAAAAATATAGGAAAAATCTTTAAAAATCTTCTTCCCAAGAACCACTGTGCCTGAAAAGCTGAAACTTATGTGGAGACATCCTGGGGTAGTGTAGATTCTAAATTGATTTTAGATTTTAAATTTTCAAATCAAGACCCCCGGGGATTGGCCGGGGCCACGATGGGGAATCAAAGTTTTACATAGAAATATATAGGAAAAATCTTAGTTGATTTCAAATTGTCTAAATTATGATCAGTGGGGTAGTTTGGGGTCACAATATGTACTAGCTATAGTATTACAAGGGGTAAATCTAGTAAAGTAAAAGAATTGTCAAAGCTTCTCAGGTGAGCGATGTGGCCCATGGGCCTCTTGTTTTTTTCCCAGCAATCACATATTTCAGAATATCTTATTGATTAGACAACATATAACTTGGCCACTGGAAATTGATTAATATATAAAATAATTGCTCATATGAATATGTACTTTATTAAATGCATTTTCTTTTGTTCTGTAGTGGTAAACCAGCCAAACTTGGAGGAGATGTGTCAGGGTTAGGTGAGGGGGGTCAGGTGTACGGAGACGGGACGATGACCAAGCTGTACATGGGGTCAGGTGGTGGATCGGGGGGATGTGCCAAGGACGTCACCGTCAACCCACCAGGTACGTTAAAGGTGTTAATCCATCAGGTACAAAAAAGGTGTTTATCCATCAGGTACAAAAAAATGTTTATCCATCAGGTACGAGGTACAAAAAAAATTGTTAATCCACCAGGTACGAAAAAGATGTTTATCCATCAGAGTAAATCATATCTAGCTGTCAACCATTCATAGCAATTGCCGAGGGATGAAGTCATTACATGTTTTGATGGTTTGTAGGTGGACATGGTGGAGATGGGGGAGGGGCTGTTCGTCTGGTGGCTGAGATGAACGTCCAGATTACTGGTACACTAGATGTAGAAGGGACCACAGGGGAGGGAGACATTGTCAACAGCTTAAGGTAATGACCTACAGGGGAGGTATAGTCAACAGCTTAAGGTAATGATCTACAGGGGAGGTATAGTCAACAGCTAACAAGGTAATGATCATCTACAGGGGAGGTATTATCAACGGCTTAAGGTAATGATCATCTCAAGGGGAAGGAGGTATTGTTAACAGCTTTAGGTAATGATCATCTACAGGGGAGGTATTATCAACGACCTAAGGTAATGATCATCTACAGGGGAGGAATTGTCAACAGCCTAAGGTAATGGTTAACAGTTACTGTAGTGTTGTCAAATCAGTTGAAAATCAGAATCGATTAATCGGTAGCATCGGTTGACCCTAACCAACTGATCATCGGCCAATAATCGAATCGGTAATCCTTTGCATAAAATAGGTATTATATTTCATATAAAATTTTGAATTTTATTTTTATCAAATAATGTGAGTAAAGGTGCATTGTACAGATCGAAATTCTAAAAACAGTACATATGCAGTTTGATCAACAATTTCTGTAATACAGACTTTTGCATGATTAGGAATTACTTGGCCTGGGAAACATAAGCATTTTACAGATCAGGTTTTAATTTACATGATTATCTAATATATATATTAACGTAGGTCGCGGGTTTACAGGGCTTTTAAAAGTGTTCGAAAACATACCACGAAAATTACCTATATGGGTTTCTCTACCTTTGATTTCCATTCTCTGAAATTTTTATAAAATTCGTCTGCACCGTTTTTGTGTAATTGAATTCCAAAGATGTCATTGTTGTAGTTACATTTTCGACGGTTTTCTATTGAATTCGTATAGGAAAAACGTCGTTTTTGGCTTGTTTTCAGGGAAGGTTTTGATTTAAAAAATATCAGTAACTTTTAAATAATGCAGACGAATTTGTTTATCCTTTGGTATTCAAAAATAGAATTGATTTGAAAGAAATCTATGTAAAAAAATTAAAATGTCTTCAGGTTCATTTTTTCGTAATTTAATTGTAGATAATTGCTTTTATATTGAAAAATGTAGCATTTTAAAGAACATCGTCATAAAATATCGCGACGTCACGCTTAACGTTGTGAATATGGATGCGAAAATATAAAAAAAAAAAAAAAATTAACGGATTTTAAGAAAAAGGAAAATCACGTATACCATCTTTAAAATGACAAGTATCATATTAATAATTCAATAAAACAATTATTAGACATTTTTTCCCTTTCAGCTTACTATGTCTAATATTAGTGAAAATTCACGTAAAAGGCGTAAACCAACAATCAGTCCTTTAGTTTCTTTTTTTTTTATTTTCTTTATGTTTATTTCTTACCGTTTCTTTTCTTTTAGCTCTACTGGTCAAAGACCAGAAGAGCTTATGCGATAGTAAGATGTCCGTCGTTTGTCCGTCTGTCTGTCCGTCTGTCTGTAAACAATTTTCAAAATGCTACTCCTCCTACAGTTTTGGTCTGATTTCTGTATAACTTGGCACACAGGTAGACTAAACTAAGATACATAAAATACTGAATCGGTTTTTGATTTCGATGAACGGTGTTGCCATGGTTACTAAAAATAGAATTTTCTGTAAAATTCCTTTAAAATGCTACTCCTCCTATAGTTTTGATCTGATTTCAATGTAACTTGGCACACAAGTAGACTACACTAAGATACATAAAATAGTGCATCAGTTTTTGATTTCGATGAACGGTGTTGCCATGTTACTAAAAATAGAATTTTCTGTGAAATTTTTTTAAAACGCTACTCCTTCTTCAGTTTGGGTCTTATTTCAATATTACTTGGCACAAAAGTAGACTACACTAAGATACATAAAATAGTGCATCGGTTTTTGATTTTGATGAAAGGTGTTGCCATTGTTACTAAAAATAGAAATGTCTGTGAAATTCATTTAAAACGCTACTTCTTCTACAGTTTTGGTCTGATTTCAGTATAACTTGGCACACAAGTAGACTACACCAAGATACATAAGATAGTGCATTGGATTTTGATTTCGATGAACGATGTTGCCATGGTTACTAAAAATAGAATTTTCTGTGAAATTCCTTTAAAACGCTACTCCTTCTACAGTTTTCTTCCGATTTCAATATTATTTGGCAACACAAGTAGACTACACTAAGATACATAGAATAGTGCATTGGTTTTTCAGTTTGATGAACAGTGTTGCCATGGTTTCTAAAAATAGAATTTTCTGTGAAATTCCTTTAAAATGCTACTTCTCCTATTTTTTTTATCTGATTCAGTGTAACTTGGCACACAAGTAGACTACATTAAGATACATAAAATAGTGCATCGGTTTTTGATTTCGATGAACGGTGTTGCCATGGTTACTAAAAATAATGTTCTGTGAAATTCCTTTAAAACGCTACTCCTTCTACAGTTTTGATCTGATTTCAATATTATTTGGCACACAAGTAGACTTCACTAAGATACATAGAATAGTGCATTGGTTTTTCATTTCGATAAATTCAGAAGTGTTGCCATGGTTACTAAAAATAGAATTTTCTGTGAAATTTCTACAAAACAATACTCCTCCTACAATTTTGGTCTGATTTCAATATTATTTGGCACACAAGTAGACTACACTAAGATACAAATAATAGTGCATCGGTTTTTAATTTTGATGAACGGTGTTGCCATTGTTATTAAAAATAGAAATGTCTGTGAAATTCCTTTAAAACAGTACTTCTTCTACAGTTTTGGTCTAATGGCAATGGCTTCTTTTCTCATCTTTTGTTATAAGTTCAAACCAGTAGAGCTACAGTCTCGACAGAGACTTCTGGTTTGTTTTTGTTTATTCATGCGCTGATTCTCGCCGGAATTTGCAAAATAAAACTGGCCTTGTGTTCCCCTCTGGAAAAGGCATACTCCCCCCCATTCCCGTTGAAATCGCAGATCTAAGTTTGTTTGAGTCGTAGGTATGAAGATAATTTAGAAGTCACGGACTACTAACACCCCAAACCCCCAACCCCGAAATTTTTTTTACACTTTGTATATATCCGTTCTCTTTAGAAAATTCAGCAAGGCTATCAAATAAACAATAACTTCTTATGAATCAATTTTCCGCCAAATATCTTCCCGAGTATAAGTATTTATGCATTCAGTGTTTATAGTGAAAATGCTTTTGTTTAAGTTTACAAAGTAGGAGCGAATAAACCAACATAAATCTTAACTTGATTTTGTTTTATGCTTATGCGTATAAGGATAGAAAAAGTCTAAGAAAGTGTACTTAAAAGGAATTTTTAGAGGGGTAAATGAGACGATAATTTAAACAATTTTATTTGGCGCAATCAACGGGTAGATTTTATTTTGCTCTTAGACTTTGAATGTATACATCTAACATTAATTGCTACTGAATGAACATGGAAAGCAACGCAGCGAATAAAATATGTACATGCAACTAACAACAACGTGTGCCGTTACTCACACAGGCACTTGGAGTATCGACCCCCTTCTGTTTTTCTGGGTGGGGGGGGGGGGGGGAGTCCTATTTTGGATTTTTAATACGTATTGCATGTTATTTAATAATGTTACCCTTTTATCTCTTTATGCTGTTTTTAAATAAATGTTTTTTTTCTTTAATCTTCACTTGCATGATCACTATCTAAAGCGTAGAGAATCATGGAATATGCAGACATCGATTTTGAAACACGCTCTTCTTCCTTTCAGATTTCCATTTATATAATTCTTTATTTGCCTACGATTAGTAAATATTTCGATTAAATTAACATGCACATATAGGGGGGAGTTAAAAATTTTAAAAAAACGTTATATCGCGACTACCAATAGACCCGCAGTTATCTAAATTACTACCGCTCTTTTGCGGGGGAGTCCAAAAAAATTACATTTCTGGGGGGAAAAACATTGTTTACAGTATGCAATGAATGATTCTAACAATTTAATGCTAAATACGATGTTTTGCCAGATATTGAACTCCCAAATAGTAGATTGTCAAATAAGGAAATTTAGAATAATTTATCTGCTTAAAAATGTGACGATTTTCAATGAAAATTTAACGAGAAGAGTTCACTTAATTAAAAATATCGTTAAAAATGTGACAATTTAGGATCGGCTCCTCTCAAAAATTTTTAGGCTGGTTCAGCGATCGTTTAGAAGGTATTCCACCAGGATTTTTTACTTATCTGCCCTTTAAAAATTAAAATGATATTTGCATTGTATTGAAAAGCACATTGCCCCCAGCCAACAGACGATTCCTGCCTTCTTCGCGAAAAGTTCCGCAAGTTAAGTAATCGCGATATAAGTATTGGGAAAAGTTTTCACCCCCCAGGCGCGGATCCAGGAATTGAAGTTGAGGGGGCCCAAAAATAGACTAGGGGTCTGGGGCCGCCTTTGGGGCCCCCGTGGGGCCAGGGCAAAGCCCTATGGGGGGCCCACGGGGGGGAACCCCCGGAAGCTCCTGGATTCTAAGATTTTTTAGGGTAAAAATAGGTCTACCAAATAGACATATATATATACATTTTTTAGACAAACTGTGATTTACATTAAAAACTATATGCGGTATTAACCAGCATTTGCCCCCCCAAAAACAAATTTATAGTAATATTTAATTAAGTCCTTAAACAGGGGAGTATATGCTGACTTCAAAGCATAGAAAATTTCATAAGAATGACCAAGTACTAATGATGTCACAAATATAACGTAATTTCAGTTTTTTATGAATTTTGCAAAAAAAAACAACCAAAAAAAAACACCCACCATGTGTTTAATAAATATTTTGATATAATGTGTAGAATGATAATATCAATGAAATATGTCAATATTGTTCCTGAAAACACATGCGCTCTATAAATTTTAAAGCTTAAATTGTTGAAATTTTGTCCATTTTGTCCCTTTTTGGGAAAAAGGGTATAAAAAGGGGGTTTGTGGATAAAAAAAAATTGTGAAAAACGCCTAAATTTTTTTTAAATATTTTGCAATTTATTGAATTAACATTTCAGGAAGTTTTAAAATTTGACTTTTTTGGGGGAAAAATTAAATACCGCAAAATTCTTTAAATT